TGCGTTAAAAATACATTTTTATGTTATAAGTTATTACTAATGTCTTACAATTACGATGGAATTTTCTGTTTAGCTCACATACTTATTTTAAACTAACTTTACAATTCTGCATAGAATAATGTGGTTTATAGTATCGTTCGGCTACCCCTCTCACACTCTATAAGATTTAACATGGGATTACAGTTTAAGTCTATGGCTATACTTTAACATAGGGCTAATGTTAAGTCTATGGGAAAATTTTTCAGTGAGTTTCTATGGGATTACAGTTTAAATCTATGACAAGATTTACATAAATAATTCTATGGACAATGCTAACAAGCAAGCTTGTAAGTGTATGGACAATGATAAATTTATTGAACTAATTCTAACTGTATAGGAATAATGCTGAGTCTATGGGACTAATGCTAATTTTATGAACAATGCTAAGTCTATGACAAGTCTATTGTACTAATATTAAATTTGTTGATAATACTAATACCCAAATTATGGTTAACGTATAGCATTTTTTTGTAAACCATGTTTAACAGTGCATACATTTTAAACTAATTCTAATTTATTTAATACATAATAAAAAACTTAATATTAAATAATAAATTATCTAATAAAAAAACTAAACTAACATGCAATTTAACATTTATTNATTTTTTTGTAAACCATGTTTAACAGTGCATACATTTTAAACTAATTCTAATTTATTTAATACATAATAAAAAACTTATATAATTTATTATTTAATAGATTATTTTTTTGATTTGATTGTACGTTAAATTGTAAATAACAAATTTTTACGGTAATACAACAACTAATAAAAATCGTTTATTATCTATTTTAACTGATCTTGAATTATAGCAAATATTTCATGTGCACAGTGTTTTGTTAATCAATATTTATTTATAATAAAAATATTTTAAAATAAAGTTTAATAACATAGCCAAGTTGTTAAAATTTATACTGACATAGTAAACATTCTACTAAATGCACATGATGCAAACTTATGGAGTTAACCCGTTAGACATTGAATACCCATTATATAAAACATGGATCTTTTATCGATACGATGCCAACAACAGGTTCGCAAACCGAAACACTCTATATCGGCAAAAGTTCAAAGTATTTGTCACATTTGCGATGACTATAATTAATATTGCGCGCAATTCGTTCTACCTCTACATCGGGCAAACTAATAAACACCTGCCGCCGCATTACATCGAGGTGGCTCAGTATTTTATCACCATCAAAGAGTTTACATTTATGCAATTGATATTAGGCAGTACGTTGGCCATGTTGCTAATACGGGCCATTAATAGCGCCCCATATGGCCAGTATTCCTGGTTTAACATAATAGCCGCCATAAATGGTTATAAACAGTTTACCGAGATCGGTTTATGCGATTTGAGATTGTCTAGACAGTACATGATCATAATTAAAAAATTCTACGCCATCACAAATTACGGCACGTATTTAATGCATGCGTCGGTAGTATCGTTGACCATCATAATAATTATTCAAAATTTTAATAACCTATTGTATGGTGCGTTAGGTGGACTAATTTTTGTGCCCCTTTACTTGCCCATCGCTCACTCATTGTTCTGGATGCTATTTTATTATCTAGTTGTTTGCTTTTATATTAGATACCGCATTAAAGATTATGTTAAGTATTTGTCAGTTACCATGATTAAATGTAGAAATAATTTAATTAACCTAGAAATGAGTAAACTGGCCAAGATTTTGGATAAGCATAATAAATTATGTCGCGATATAGATGAGCATAATAAATTCTGGCGCAAAATATATTGCATAATTACCTATATATTGATACCCATAGACGCGTTGTTCATACAAATGATCGTGTTTGAATCGCAGCTAATACAAACTAACATTGTTATGATTGTATTTCTTACATTTACCTATGTGTTTTTATTTTCACTAAATATTCTTGTGTCGGACATTAACCATGAAACCACGCATACGCATAGAGTATTATTTAAAATAGCCATGGTACTTAAAACTGGAAAGAGAATTAATAACAAGATTAAGGTTAGTTATTCTAAAATTTAATTAGTTACTATAAATTTTTAATTTTTAAAATTAGTTACTAAATACATTGGACAGATTGAGTAGTAATGGGAATATGATTGGTTTCACTTGCAGTACATTATATGTTATTACGAGAAGCGTTGCATTTAGAGTAAGTGTTAATTTTTATAATGTCCCAGTTTGTAATTTATAGTAATAATCGTTCAATATTTGTTGCTAGATGTTTCTGGTGTTCATTCGATTTTTCATGTTATCGCATAAGTTATCGTATAAATTTAAATAATCAATTACCGGTATTAAATATAATTTTAATTTGTTTGCGTTTATAACTTAAAACGCTAAATTCATTATTCTAGTCACCATTTAACATGTGTATGTTTAGCAATAAATAACATTGCATTTATTTTTTAACAATAATAATAACATAAAAATAAACTACAAAATTATGTTGTAAAAGTAATGAACAAAAATGTATATTTAACATTTAATAAATAAATAACAACAATTCAGCTAGTTCGTTAAATATTTTTAATATTTAAAATAATTAAAAGAATAAAATAGATAAATTAAAAAATCAAAAATATATCCCACGCCATCTTTACACGTACATTATACCTGCCCCACCTGTATTAATCACACTTAGTATTACTGTGCGTGATATCGGCCGCAAACCGACGACCAATAAAAATTGCCGCTCGTCACGTGGAGAGCCTCCGACACGTACCGGTCGAGCGCCGGTATGTTCATCGCGCGCAGCCGTCCCGCGTACTCCTGGGCCAGCGTCCAGAGGGCGCGCATTTCACGGGCAATACTGTCTGCCGCCAGTTGTGCTGTCCAGCCCTCGCGCACCATTAGTAGGTACATGTATGCCGTGCGGTAGTCGCCCGCCCGCACCTCTTTGCCAAACGAGTAAAGCTCGTTAGCCATCACACAGTGTTTATAACATATGGTTGTAAACGCCCGGTAGGTGTCGTCGTTTGTCAGATTGTGGTCGTTTGGGTCGAAGCCGGCGCACAACTCGGCCCATATGAATACGTTGTACCCGCCGCAGTCCATTTCCCTATGGGCAATTTATTATGTCTGTTTATAAAAGTATACTGCAATTTTAAAATCTAGTATTATTTTTCTAATTATTACAATACACTAATTTTAGTAGACGTTAGAGAGAGAGAGAGAGAGAGAGAGAGAGAGAGAGTGAGAGAGAGAGAGAGAGAAAAAAAAATAAAATAATAAACATCTAAAAATATTTAATGAATTTATTAATTGCATAAAATATACGTATAAATTATACTTGATTAATTATACTGTATAATCAAAAACAGAATAAATTGCACATTAAAACAAAATTATCTGATTAATGACAAATGATTGTTAATTGTTATTTAATGAATGTGTAGCCAGTGATTGCTAATCACATGTTCATACAATCAGTACATAAATACTTTTAAAAAATGTTATAAATATAGCGCGTGTTATAGAAACTACACAATTTTTTATATTAAAAAACCATGACTGAAAAATTATACGAGGGCTATAAAAATTACATTCGCGGCTCAATCCGATCGTTCGCCCAATTAATACCGGATGATATACAGTATGAACCCGATGCCAATAATAACACCTTGATCAAACATATGACGGTAACACCTAGCATGGCCAATTTTGTGATCCGGGATATTGGATACGAAATACAGTCAGAGAATCCACACTTTCCCGACGCCCGGGCTGTTGTTGAACGGGAGGTGAGCGAGTGTTTTGGCCACCCCTGGGTAGATAAGCTAGATTTTGCAGGCTTTCAAACCTATTTGTTTACTACGAATAATCCGGCACATTTTGAAGCGATTAACCTATGGGGTGTATTTGCGTTTATGCTCGATGATCATCTAGATAAAATTTCTGATCCAAAATTAATAAGGTATTTAAATAATAGAATAGTAAAATTTGTTATAGTTATTAATCTATGTCATAAATTATTTTATTAATAAGTTATTAAAATATTTTTAATTGTACAATAATCAAAAGTGTTTACTATACAGAAAGTGGTACAATAAATACAAGCTGAGCCATAGCGATGACCAAGCCCCGTTGGATCGGTTAATGATGAAGGTGATATATAATATAAACACAAATTTAAGTAAGGACCAGGCACGCCGGTTACATGGTGATTTTTTGGCTTTTATCAACACATACGATACACTTTTGGATTATAAATATGAAAATGATAAAGTGCTTACCTATCCGGAGTTTTTTGCAATTAGGTAAAAACCTTAATTTGTGTTTGTAAAACATAAAATACATGTTAACTCATATGTGATCTAGAGAACTAGACTGCCTTGGGACAGCCGTATTCATATGGGCAGAGTTAAGCGCTGGTTTCGACCCGAACGAGCATGGTATAAAAACCAACGAGTGGATGGCCCGCAAATTGTAGTATACGTAGTTTGTGACACACAATCGGTTACTCTACACAAGCAAACCGTTTCTCCACGCCCGCCCGCTGATGGCCGTGCGTATGTACATGGACGAATACCACGCGGAGAGCTGGACAGCACAACAGGCGGCCGACAGTATTGCCCGTGAAATGCGCGCCCTCTGGACGCTGGCCCAGGAGTACGCGGGACGGCTGCGCGCGATGAACATACCGGCGCTCGACCGGTACGTGTCGGAGGCTCTACACGTGACGAACGGCAACTTTTATTGGTCATCAATTTGCGGCCGATATCACGCCCAGTAAATTGGCTGTCCTTACTATTAATGTCATGTCATATGCAACATTCAACATAAATAATTATTAAATTAATGAGTTGTGCAAATTATCTAACCACTTAATATTAATAATTTGTAAACTCTGTTATTTAATCAACCTCTAAAACTACAGAAGTATCATAGACTAACTTAGGCTAACTTATAAAAACTTTTTCATTTAACAAGTTTGTTAATTAATTATTAAATAATGTTAATAATTGTTTTTTACTGAATAAAAATATTGATTTTATTAATTTAAAGTTTACTAATGCATTATTTTGGTGTCCACGTAACTGTCACAGAAATTTTGCCTGAGTTATCACCACGGGCCAAGGGCAGCGCGATCGGTTTGTGACTATCATGATGCTCAATCAGCTGGGTGATCAACAAGGTAGCTCCACCAGCAAAATTCTACAAACAATTAAAATAAACAAATAAGCATGCTAATCGGGAAACAATATACTGAACATGATCATGTTAACAAAATAGAGCACGTACGTTTTTAACGCTGGACACGTGATCCCAAACCTCGAAAGTGACCCTGGACTCTTCTTTCCAGATGAATTTGTGCGACCCCTGGCAGACCACTCGCCACGTGGGGTGTGTAGAGGTGGGCGCGATGGCCGTCTGGCACGAGACACAGGTCTTACGGTCGATGATTGGCAGCTATTTTATATCATGTGAAATATAAGTGAATTACAATTATTATACAGAATATAACTTTTGTTAGGATACAAGTTAATGATTAACATAAATAAACATGTTAATTAAAAAAAATTAATTTGAGTTTACACTCACCTCTACTACAGTGGATGCGTTCTGGAGACAAACATCGGCATAAGCTGTGATAATAAACTTGGTTAGTTATCAAATTATTAATTATATTATGTCTACCTGTTGCGGCTTTAGACAAATCGGCCGAGGTCATCTCGATATCGATATAACCCAAATGCAACGGTGACACGCATTTGCCTCCGATACAAGTCTAAAAACAATCAAGCACATTGAAAAATCAATAAGTAATAGTTTAAAAAGTATAATAGCACCAAGATAACATACATTTTTAGTGGATGGAATGCCAGGACAGGGCAATCCCTCGGACATATTATGATGGTTAACCGCACCATGAATAACGCAATCTAGCTCGCATTTATCATTGGTGTATTGTGTGCCCTGTGCGTCCACATCTACGTGGTGTAGTGATCGGCACTTTGCCTGTGCCAACGGATCGTCAGCCCTAACCGCCGCAACCATAACAATAGCAATTACCACGTACGCAAACATTGTGACTAGCTGGCTTAATTGTTAGTTATGCAAAACAATTTGAAGTAAGTGTGCTAAGATGTCTGATATTTATATACCTGGTTGCGCCATAAGTCCTACTTCTCACTGGTATTATCTTATAGAGATTAGTGATTAAATGTGTAAACAAGGTTAAAGTTGCGAAAATATTTACCTGCATGGTTTTATCATGTTTATTCATTATTGTATATCCGTATTATATATTATTAGTATTATAGTATGCATGTTTTACTTAAATATAATAATTAATATTTTATTTATATTGTTAAAAAATTTATTTAAATTATTTTTAGCAATGTAACTAAATAAATAATTAATATTAGTATTAAAGTGACGATTATATTTACTGCATACTTTAATTAAAGGGGAATTGTGATTAGAAAATGTTACCTTAATAAAGTGAAAGCGATTGTTTAAGTATTTAACTATAATTCTAATAGTTAACTGATCTAGACTAGATAAGTTATTACAATATCCACTTAAACTTTTTAAACTTTTACTATAAGTCAATTTATGTTCGCGCATCACGGTACACAGTACACGTAACCAATTAATTTGCCCATGCATATTTGAGATTATATTTGAAGTATATTTAGCAGTAAATAAATTGCAACATAATATTGTCGATTCAAATAGATTATTTTATGCTCTATCTCCATTAGTTCGCACATAATAATTTCGAAATATTATAACTTATTTGATGTGTTAATTTCATAATTGCCTAATAGTAATAGAAATAATAAAATCAATAAATTTTTTATTTATCATGTATGATCAGCCAGGTGTGTATTTTATAAAATAATTAATAATTGTAATTAACTCAAACATAGATAATATTATTTTAATAATTTATTAATTATATTTATAACTATTCATAACTAATAAATATACAACTAAAATATATAAAATTTACATAACTAAAAAATAATATTGATTAGTACATTAATTACATTATCTTAATGCTATAATATTTAGCTAACAAAGTAACTATCAAGCACTGCACAATATTCAATAATAAATTAGTGCAATTTATTAATTTAAACTTTAAATAAAATTATTACTATTTAATTATAGTATTAGTTTAAAATACTGCTTTATAATTTATTCATATTGTAATGTATTAATTAATATTTGCAAACTATTAATATTAACAATTATTAATTAGTAATTTATTATGTCCCTAATAATGTTTATGATTTTGTCCTTCATTATTCCACACTCATTTTATTAACGCACATCTTAAACTAAAATGATCTGTAAGTCTACAGTACTCTGCTTGTTATTTTACTGTATACAAAATTATTTATTTAATATTTTATTAAATTACTATAATAGACAATTATTAAAATATTGATAATATTATATTAACATTCATGTTAAATTATTTATTTTAACAATGTCATTAATTTTATTATTTCAGTCAAAATGAAAACAAATAATTATACACGAGAATAAAATAAAGAATATAAGAAGCATAAGAAGTCTATATTTTATAAATGTATTCTTCATCATAATGTAATTTATAATATAATGTTTTTGTGTTATTTAAACATTTTAAACGTTTTAAAGTAAGTTGTTAATAATGTAAGTATCAATATGTACTTTTAATATTACGTTTAATAGTTATCTAAATAATGACAACATAATGATATTGTTAATTAGGACTATTAAAACTTTAATTTTAAAAATTCAATTATACATGATTGTTTTAATACTTAAAAGGAATTTATGTCCACAAAGCTCAATTAATCCCGACAAGAATGATCTGGTGATGACCAGAACAATTAGGAGACTTACACGACTGGCCACAAACACGGAAGTTATGGACATATCTGTAAACGCAGGCATAGGGCTCAATGCATTAAAAACTGTCATTTTACATGGGTAATGTCATTCATCAAAATTGTAATGCATTGAGTCCTATGCCTGCGGTTAGAGATATGTCTATAACTCCCGTGTTTGTGGCCATTCGCACGTTTTGAAAAACGAATACAAGTCTCCTCATTGTTCTGGACATCACCAGATCACTCCCGTCGGTATTAATTGAGCTTCGTAGACATGGATTCCTTTTTAACATGTAATTATGTATTAGCTTATGTTGTAAATGTTCATTTAATGCTAGTAAATTTATTTATATATTTATTGTCATTTCTAAAAAATATACAGTGTATTTAAACATCAACTATGGTTAAACAAAATAATTACAGTCTAACAAAGTGCATACCCTTTGAATTACAAGTCAGATGTGCGGACAGTAATCTCTACCGAATCGGGTTATCGCACAATAACTCGCAATATATGCCTATTAAGAGACGTTTTATATTTAACCCGCTCATTCAATTTATAATATATGCGCAACAATTGACCAAGTGCATCATATCGATCTATCTACATATTAAGAACTTTAATATACCAGAAATTAACCACTTGTATCTGGCTAATATTGATCACTATATGAACAGCGGCTTAATTGCAAACATAACCTTGTTAATGATTACCATATTCTGTATGGCATCGCAATTAATAAATTACTTAAACCATAGAAATGGCGTAAAACCCGTGGATTTGCGTGTATTTCAAATGATCGCCGGTTTTATTACACCAAAAAATTGTGGCATTAATAAATGGCAATTAGTTCATAAATTGTCCCGGTTTATAAAACACGGCTTAAAACTAACATACCTAATCATAAGAATTAGTGTCCTTAATGGTTTTGTATTATGTGCCACATTATTTTGCTATAAACAACCCATAATTACTATCGTTATGGTTTCTTTACCAAATGCATTATTAGTTAGTTTATGGGGTATATACACTGTATGTGTATGTGGTGAATACAATATTTTATCAGACATTTTACTATTTTATTATTAGTAGATATTTAATGTTAAAGTTACAATCACTAAATCTAGATGTATTGGATATAAAAAATAATAGAAATTTTTTTATATGGAAGGCTATTCGAAAGTTTACAGTAATTTACAATGAAATTAGCAATTGTAACAATACATATTGGTCAAAATTCATCCTGGCCATATGGATGTCATTTAGTGTGATCATTAGTTTTTGTCTTTATCTATGTTTATTTAGCATTGGCATAGAATTTATACCACGGGTAATTGCCCTTGCAACTTCGCTAACGTATTTAATGTTATTGATACTAATTATTCACATTTCTGGCCAACTTTACACAAATGCCAACAGAAGTTATTACTTGTTGAATTCATTTATTTTTACTAATAAATGCTCTAGTTCATTGGTATCAAAGCTTAAGGTAACTCTCTCTCTCTCTCTCTCTCTCAGAAATAT